CGTGTTCACTAACCAGTGAGCTGCTCTTCTTCAGTTCTGGAATCGTCTCTTCATCAGTTCTGTTCAGGGTTTAAAACGACGGCTCTATTGTTGGAGGATTGTCGAGACTCTGAGAAAGAGCTTTATTATCGTCCATCATTATTTGATTTCATTATGTTCTTATCTTTATGTCTTGCTTCAGGATTTTATCGTCTCTTCTTTAGATTTATTCTAGTTTTTCATTTATTTTAAAGCATTTTAAATGCTCTATTTAAATAATGAAGTTCACAAGCTTTATTCAGACTTTTATGTTGATTCAGATGTAAATTAACAGAAAGTGGGACAGAGATCAGAGGATCAAAGCCCAGTAAACTGAGAAGCACGGGTCTGAACAGCGCCACCCTGTGGCTGTGGTGAACACACCAACATGTGTTATCTTTCTCTCTGGATCTTGAACTCAAACGTCAGAGTGAGACTCAGTTTGTCTGTCTCCTCCTTCACTCCTGTATAAAGTCTAAGTCCAGGAGAAGTGAGGACACAGCAGAGCGTCCTCCACTGATCCTCTGAGGGAGTGGGGGGGTGATGAGCTTCTAACATGTGACACAAACATGAAGACACACAAACATGATCACTTCCTGTCCGTCTGCTCTCACCTGAAGAACGAGGAGGATCTGATGTGAACGAGTCTGAGCAGAAAACCTGCTGCTGAGTCGTTCAGCTGTGAAACACTTTGACCTTTGACCTTTGACCAAACAAAGGTTTGGTTGAAATCCATCAATGTGTTGTTGAGTTACTTTGGACAAACACACACACACACACACACACACACACATGTTCAGAAACATTAGAACTCAGGTGACCCATCAAACCACTGAGGTCACACTGACGTGTCAGCGGTCGACCATCTGGGTCACATCCAGCTGCAGAGCGCAGGGCGGGTCCTTCCTGTCTCCAGAGTCGCTCCACCATGTAATTGACGAGATCAGATAGCGATCTATGAATAGAGAGCAACTTTTCAACTATGCAACTGTCCACATAGCTCGTGCTCCCAGGAGATCCCGGCCTGTTGCTACGACAATGCTTCACAATCACTTCTGTCCGGCCACTGAACACTCGTCTATTTCTGGGTCCTATGAAGACCCTGCCTTCTTTGAATTGTTGCTCCTCTCAGAGATGGTCAAGGCTGTTGCTTCAGGACGAGGGATCAGGAGCGTCCGGGCTATTTGTGACTGAGGCCTTACATGGCTGCAGCTGTATGGTCTGTCAGGAGTGATACAGTACGGACATTTGTCCTGAGGACTCAGTGGTGGGGTACAATTGTCTTTTTATAGGACATGAAGCTGTTGGTGCAAACGTTTGGAGATGAGTCACTGGAAAACCGACGCGTCCAAAACAAAAGAAGCTTCTACTGGTCATGAACGAGGAAATGTTCAGAAATCTGCATCATGAGAAGCAAAAATCTGATCATTGAGTTGTGATAATATTATTATTAAGTGTCTGGTCCATGTCCCATCTGCTAACGTGGAGGAGGCGGAGTTATACTGCAGCCAGACACCAGGGGGAGATAGAGAAGATTTGGCTTCATGTCGTCCATGTTTTCTCTGCGGGAACAGGAAACAGTCGCGTTGATGCTTTAGTGACAGAAGCTGAATAAAGTCTGGGAAATGATGTAAAGTGGCCAAGTTGCATTGTGGGTAATGTAACCCTGATTTATGACTTTGTTTATTTGAAGTGTCCCTCCTGTGACTGAGCGTTCCACATGAAGCAAATATGATTTCACAGTTTTATCATTTCAGACGACACCTGAAGCACAAGTTGAGAAGTTTCCACTTTTTAATACTGAAGTGTTTTTACACAATAAACACATTCATTCATTCATTCATTCATTCATTCATTGAAATTCTGTAGAGAATGAAATGTGCTTTGTAGAGATGTAAAAGACTTATTCTACATTATTTCATCAGTCGTTTATCGGTTTCCTCGCGCTCTGACATGTTGTGTGTCTGTGTGTGTGTGTTTGTTGTGTAGCTGGAGGAGGAGCTGCTGGGGCTGCAGAAGAAGCTGAAGGGCGTCGAGGATGAGCTGGACAAATACTCGGAGTCGCTGAAGGACGCCCAGGAGAAGTTGGAGCAGGCGGAGAAGAAGGCAGCAGACGTGAGTGAAGGGAGTGATGTCACGATGATATCACAGTGATGTCACGACAGGTGTCACGTCGTGGACTTGGTGTTTCATCTGTTGCTGCTCAAACTGATTCTAGAAACCAGTGGAAGCTCCTGTGGTTTAAACCCACACAGACCCGTCAGTCAAAGCTTCCACTCACACACATTAATCACCAGCGTCTTCATGTCGACCTTCACCCAGAGAATTTCAAGCTGCTCGTGTTAAATCTCCAGAGCGTCATCATTTGAAAACTCCTGTTAAGCAGCCTGGCTGCAGACCACAGCAGCAGCGAGCGTATTAAATGATGTGTGGTATCAGATTCTACCAACATATCATAAAGCCTGTCAGCGCCTCCAGGCAGATGCCGTTCATTCTAACCCATCCAGCCGGCTGTAGTGGAGGATTTGGTTTCTCTAATCCAGGTTTGGCATCAGCCGAGTTAGATCCTCCCTCTGTCCACGTTCACATGGACACCAAACAACTTATTCTGAATAAGACTCCAGATGTAATGTTTACATGAGGTACCAATGGGATGTTCTCGTTAGAATTTGAAAACTCAAACAGTTTAATGATGCTAACATTTACCCTCCTGCCCGTTTTCTTTCGATTCTTGCAAAAGCTTCAATCCTCGTTATTTTGTCATCTCGTTAACACTCAGGTCGTTTCTCGTCATCAGTTGTTAACCGTTGTTCGTCGATGTCACAAAATATTGTGAAAAACCAACAGAAGTTTATTATGTGATGACATAAACATGTCGACGAGGAAACAGACCTGGAGCGTGAAGCGATGCCCCAGGTGGCAGCTAATGTCAGCGTGCACAGTGTGTATCTGTTCACCCCCGATAACTTTCAGAGCGACAGCTGAAGCACATCCGTCATCAGCGACTGTATTTAAAGATGGACGACACATGAAAAATGATGCAAACATATCTCTGTGCTGGTGATGTCATTTGTATGTCATCAAATCACTAAAGAAACCAAAGTTATCAGGACACGTCACTGAGGAGGTGGAGCCAGATCTTTATTCACAGTCTCTGGACGAAGTCAAATAAAATCTCTCTTCCTTGCACGTGTTGATAACAGCGACATTATTGGTTCTCTCAGGCTTTGGGTCAAATCCCTGGGTTTACCCTCCTACCGACTCTAAACTAATATGTCAAACTAATCTTGTGATTGGTAGAGCTTGTTGCCGTAGCAACACATCTGTATATTCAAAGTGAAAAAGCTAAATTCATTTCACTTGTGAGTTGATGCCCTGAAGAGCCAATAATCCTGGATCGCTGAGACGTTCCGACAGATTCAGAGTCATGAGGAGTTTTCATGAGCAGTTGCAGAAGATCAGAGTGAGGCAGGCGGAGCGGGCGCCTCATTGGTCCTGAACTTCCTGTGCAGCGTTACAGCGACGTGACCAAAGAAGGAAAAGCATCGGAGCAATGTGTGAGTTTGTTTATGTTCAGTCCAACAGGAACGTCCCTGCCTCAGGACGTCCAGCAGTTCTGTCCACTCTGAATAACCAGGATTCTAAATGATATCACATGATCTCAGTTTTCTACACAAAGGTCTTGAATATTCAACTCTCACACACACACACACACACGAGCAATAATAATACTAAAGAAAATATATAGTTAACAAACCCGTAGGTGACGTCACGGCAGGCTGCCACTTGGTGGCGCTCTTACTTGGTGTTTTGTGTGATTTCAAAATAAGAGACGTGCCGATGATCGCTTTATTTCGAAGTTGTACCGGAAGTGGCTGGAGCTCAGGACACCGTTGCCACGGCAACAGTCCCACAGCTCCGCATCATGGCGGCCTTCACGTCCATAGACGCGGTGAGGAGAAAGATCCAGACTCTGCAACAGGCCGCGTACGAAGCGGAGGACCGAGCCGAACTGATGCAGGAGGAGGCGGACACCGAGAGACGCGCCCGAGAGACGGTAACACCGAGCCGAGCAGCCGCCGAACACCGACACACCGAGAAACCGACGGTTCTTCAGGGAACTTCCGTTTGAACCGTGACTGACAGGAAGCTCGTCTTTTACAATAAAACACGAGATGGAGGAAGTTCTGTCGTTCCCGGTGTGAAGTCACCGAGTACTAGCTGCAGAGTACTTCTTTACTAACTTTAGAAACAAGGAGTATGATGTCACCGAGTACTACCTGCAGAGTACTTCTTTACTAACTTTAGAAACAAGGAGTATGATGTCACCAAGTACTACCTGCAGAGTACTTCTTTACTAACTTTAG